GTGTTTATTGGCCAGAAAATGTCATTGACTGGCTAGGAAAATGGCGGCCAACATGCGTAATGCGACATGCGCGAGGACAGAAACTTCAAAGCTTCCGACGTAAGTGGCCCTTCTATATGGATCTTTATTCTATGACTTGGTGTCGCAACGACACATTGCTTCCATGCTGGAGCAGGTAGACCTTTTCAAAACAAATTGTGTCATTTTCATTTGTAATGCATTATGGACTAAATAGGCATTTAAATTTAGATGCTAGGCATTCTATAAAAAACTAGTTTACCCAAAAGGTAGTGAATGCTGCCTTTAAGCAATGTGGTCCTAAGCGCGCCTTTTGTCTTGGCGGTGTGCATGTTTGGTCTGCCGTCTTCCGCCATCCCCCCCCCCCCCAATTTCCTCTGTGGTGTATGCTGTGGGGGAGGTATGGGTTGATGATTTCTGATATAGTATTGACATGTCATCCAACTCTATCCATTATCAACTCTAAATCTTAATCCATTCTGATTAATTACCATATAATTCGGAATTATAAACTTCCCTATCTACAGATTACAACAAGGCTTGGAATTTTCAGTACGATACAATAGCATGTTAATAACTTGAAATCTGGTATCCATCCAGGAAATCTAGTATCCCTGATTTGGATGGTAGATATTGTAGACAGCAGTAATCAAAAGAAAAATAAAGCAGTATCACTAAGCTGCCTAATTGTCACTGTCCAATCATACCCCATAATTAGAGTTATAATTAGCTCTAATTGAACCTCTAAAGTAATAATTATTGAACTAGTAATAATTAATAATAATTACAATTTATATAGCGCAAATTAGCATTTATATATGATCAAATGCGTTTACAGTTAAGGGACCCTTAAAGTGCCCGTAACCCCAAAATTGATTTTCAACTTGTTAAAAGTATGCTACCAGTGGAACAGTATTGCGAAAAAATTCTTGCGTTTGGTTGAAAAGCAAACATTTTAGAGCCACTTGAATTAGGGATTGCGTGGTCAATGGACGTCGTGTACGGGAGTCTGGGTCTAGCACAATTTCTGACGTCACGCGAGTTACTGAATATCTCCACTAAATAAGTAAATACACGAGTTTTGCCACTAAAACTTTGAACTGAAAATCATCATGGAGATATGGTAAATCTTTCGAAGTTATTATCGTCGTATTTCAGGAATATTACAATTTACAGTATGTTATGTTGAAACTGGCCGGGTTACATGATCTTGATACACTTGCAATTGTTGTCACACGCGTACTAAACTGCAGCTTCTGGCCATATTTTACGATCATTTTTAGTGAGGATTTTCACAGGTTTATGAAACTTTGCCACGGTTTTTATACTACGCTGATCGGTCCACCAAGGATAAACTATGTTGTGTTATGCTTTTAAGTTGTCTCTGCGGCAATATTTTATTGCCACATACCGATTCATATGACAAGACAATTTACACTATCTTACAATTTGGTGCGCTATTCGGTCACCACAAAGTTCGGATCACTACATGTAAACCGCTAGTATTTTAGGGCTTTTAGTCATTTCACGATCAAAGTATTGTGTTTTAACGGGAAAGTGTTCTTGTGAAGTGCGCATATATTTCTTAGCGTTAGAGTGGGCCACAAATACTATGTACTCGCAGATCTCAAGCACATATCAAATGGCAGTATAGTGACACAAAATGTACGATTCCAATGCAAATAATATAGCGAATGCGTTTTAGAACATAAATTTACATAACAGAACATAAATATATAATGCAACGACTATTAGCGCAAACGGTAAGCTTGGAAAATCATGATTTTCGACAAAACAAATGCGTTATTATACAGACACGATCAGTACCAGGCCAATTTTATAGTTCCGTTGCAATTTAATACGATACTTGTTATTGTTGAGCAAACTGCCAGGCAAACTGTAAACTTCAAGGATCAATATTTTCGACTGACAAGCAAGCACGCTCTTCTTTAGTGATAAATTTGTACAACACGGATTTTTTAAAGTTGATATTTCCATAGTCCTATCGGTTAACGTTCCGTGGAGCGTCTTGTTATACTGAAATCAAGCGCCCTGACTGAAATTTACATACAAACGCGCTCCTGCTGAAAGCACAACTAACTCGCGTGACGTCACAAATAATGCTCGTTCCAGACTTCGAGCAGTTAAATATTCCGACGGCCATGTGCCAAGTAAAATCGCAATATTAGCAGGTTCATTACAACCCGCACGAAAAAAATCACAGCGTGAACCGCACTAATATAGTGCGGATCACGCTGTGATTTTAGGCCTCGCCAACACTTTGCCTGCAACTGCAGAACACCATAGACTGTCATCAATCAAGGAAAACTGATGTGAGGGAGAAGTTGAATATTATTTTTATGCCTAACGCAATGATATTTGATTACAAGCTTGTTCACAAGGGGGCCAAATATTATAAAATTGATTCAACTAAAATAGCTCGCAGAATAAAACACAGGTGTACCCCGTTGCGATTGTCAAACGATATGTGAAGTAGCTATAGCTCTACTGTATTCTATAACTCGGCTCTTAAAATGTGGCTCTTAGACGATTGCAGCTTATCGAAGGTATAGGTCACCAGCAAAGTTTGCGCATAAAATCACACTCAGATGGAACATAAATTAAATATAATGATGTCATGCACTCCTTAAGTCTTTACGTTTTCATAAATCTATCATGTAGTAGCTATAGTGACTGCTGTGTCCTGCGTGTGACTGATTTAGTTTGAATTGCATGATATTTTAGACAACACGAAATAATTGAGAAAACATATACATAGGCTACATGTCATACACACATACATACATAACATATCTCAAGTCAAAATATACCCTCTCAAGTCAGTAGACAGTATTCAGAGCTGAAAATGGCACATATATATTGCATGGGCATACTGTAGACTGTTTTGACCTGTGAAATTAATTCTATACCAATATGTTCTCATTTTAATCAGTCATTTGAGGACGTTCTATTAGCTTCCACTGGTTAAGAAAAGATGGCACATCTTCATAACCTGCCAGCAAAATATGGCACATATTTCTGGCACAAGAGTTTTCACTAAGTAGAACCTCACACGCGTATATTCTCTACAGATTCCACTGGTTAAGAAAAGATGGCACATCTTCATAACCTGCCAGCAAAATATGCACATATTTCTGGCACAAGAGCTTCTATACTGAGAGAATACAGCGCATAAAAAACACGAGTCATAAATATACGGTATAGTTATACAGTAGTGTCAATAACAATATGTCAAAAGATCGTTTTACCTATATACATATTGTTTTCATTCCAAGGTCTAGCACAATACATGCATGCCATACATGCAATATAAAAACCAATTTGTTAGCCGTGAATGCTGAATATAGCTCACTTATAGTTATACATGTATAGCTATACATCAATACATCATCTATACACGTTGACTGAGTACGGCATATTGAGTACCATATTGGTGTCCTAGTAATAATTCTCTCGTTTATTTTTACATGCCCGGCTCCATACAACAAATACAAGCTTTTTAGTACAGCGCGATCATACCCTTAGGATCGGATCATATTTTTTGCACCACAGCCAGCACAGGATATATTTGCCCGTTACAATTTTAATACACGCATCTCCAATTTTATGTTTTATAAATCTACACATGTACTTATTTTCTTATAAGTTCACATTTATGCAAATAACAAGTAGTTGTTTATTATTTGTTATATATCCTTAGTTTCATCAAATACAACATAGGCTACTTTTAGAGTTTTCAAGTCCGAACATTGTGCCAACAACACGAGGCCATCACATTATCATATTTCACACTATACTTTTTGATCTAACATTTAGGGACTATTGCGGCGTTTCGTCCTTCATGGACTCGTCAGCAGGGATTTGGGATTGGTATATGTGTGAGAAGGACACAGAATACAGAAACCGATTTGGATTACAGAGTGAATAAACATAAAAATAGCAATACATGCGTATGACTATTGTAAAATAAATGTAACTATATAAACTGTCTTACCAAATTCGCTGCCATTTTTTGTCAAACCAACTTACCAACACGTTGCCGTTGGACCATGGTTGTAATTTCTCAGGAATGTTGTATAACTATAGCGCTTATATATATATATATATAGATTGTACTAACTATGCGTTGGATATGTGTGAATGGCCCTTGGCTAAGCAATTTTTTCCGTTAGAGCCATATTGCTAAAATTCCAAACGTCGAGACGGCAACAACGTACGTCACTTCTTTGTCTTGTACCACAAACCAATCAATTGAATGGTGCGAGATTTCCATCGCTGCCGTAAACATCTTCGAGCTTGAGTTTCGAACGTCTCCCGCCAATTTCTTAAACGCAATATTCTGTTGGTTTCGATTCGGTTGGTAGCCATGCAAAGAGTCACTGAACGCGCACCAATTTGTCTTTGGATCAACATACAGTTCTAACAAATACTCGATGATATCGCTTCGTTGCAAACAAATCGAGTGTGATGTTAGTTTGGTCGTGCAATACACAAACGCACCATGTCTGAGCCATACTCGTTCGCGCAATTGAATTTGGCGCGCTATAGCGCATATGCAGCCTTTGCCATTGGTATCAGTGTTGACAGCTAACTTCACTATATTCATTTAGTAATCGTTAGATTTTAACTATTTGCATTTTTAAATATTAATATTAGAGGTTAGAGAGCTATAGAATATCAAATCAGCTTGCTCATTAACGCAATTTGTACACATGCGTCTGTCAACAGAACCTACACCTGGCTCAGCCATGCTATGGTAACGAACACCTCCAG